ATTCTAACACTTATTATTTCGTTGTTGTTGTTGATATTGTCGATTCTACCAACTACATAAAATTGACCTTGGAAAAAAATTTGTCAAAAAATTGACTATCACACAATACACTTGAAATTAATCTAAAAATTTCAAACTCCCCAAAATAAAACGAATAATATTAAAGGTTATTTCCACTTCAATGTGTTTATTTTATTTTTATTTTATTTTTCACTAACAATACTTAAAATTTAATGTGCATTAAAAATGTAATTGTAACAGAATTCAGTATTGCAACACGCAACGTCCAAAAACAATTAAAAGTGGAAAAAAGTCGCAGACACATATCTATTGTAAATGATACACAATTTGCTACAAAAACAATTACATTGAAAAACACATGTATTTTGTTGTTGTAGTCGCTAAATTTAGGTTGACGCATTTTTATCTGTGTTCCCGCTAACGTGCAAGCGAAAAAATAATGTGCACGTCTTCACCTTTCCAACAGTATAAATTTTATTCATTTATATTTCTTGAAGTGAGCGAGGCTACACACTTAGTTTTTTTTTCTAAAAATAAGTAAAATATATTAGGAGTATTCAGGCAACTGATTAGTTACTTAGTTGATTCAAAAACTTCATATAAAAAAAATTTAGCATTTTGATGTTAATCAGTTGCTTGAACGACCCAAAATGGGTAATCTGATTAGTTTGTTGTGTGCAAATGCCTTGGCAGCACTCGTATCAATATTCGTAAATTTTAATATCATTTAAATTTATCATATAATTTATCATATAATTTATCATATAACTAAAATTGCAAACGTGTCATAGGTATATAAAGAAGTAGAATATTCAATTTTATACTTTTTAATTATATTTTATCCCTTTAAAAATTATACTTTTACTGAATTTTATTTATTAATTTATGTTATTATTTTTGCATTTTCTTTTTAAGAAACCCTATGCTCATACCGCCGACGCTTGGTACTGGCAGCACTATTAATCAAATTTTCACTAATCTGAGAATCTCCGAAATAGTAGATTTTCTGCTTAGTTTAATTTTTGTATGCAAATTTTTATTGTAATCAACTACTAAGCAACTCATCAGTTGCCTGTTAGTAAACACTTTTGATTTGTTTGCATAAATATGTGAATTTTTGCTACATGCAATAGCAAATAAGTAATATACCTATATTAATGTCATATAAGTTTGAATTTCGTTATATAATGTACGCAATTTACAAATATGTGTACTTCAATAACATATTTAGATCAGGGTTTGAATTGCTGTTGCTAATTTCTAGAAATTATTTTTGACTATGAAAATAAAGTAAGTAAAATGCAAATGCAACAACAAAACGTACACAATGCAAATGTGTGTGCACGAAACGGGATTGAAGATTTTAACTTTATATACCGTGGCTCACAGCTTATTTCGTGCAAGCAATATTTTTGTAGATTTAGTCGTGAAAATCCAAAATTTTGTTCAAAATAAAAAATTTTAAATATGCAACTTTAAAGAATGTTTAGTTTTTATTATAAAACAAAAAAAAAATTTAGCAAAAATATCAATATTCAAGAAGTTAAGTGAACAAAAACAAACACACACCAAATTCTGACCTCACAGCTTATTTCCTGCAATACATTTTTTTTTAGAAAATTAATAATTTTTGGCATAAAAAAGTGAATTTTAGTATTTAGTGGGATAGTTCTTTTGTTTAATTACTGCCTCCAACCTTGAACGCATTGAAATAACTAATTTTTGAGTATATTCCACTGATATTTTTTGCCATTCCTATTTTAAAGCAGCTTTCATACTTTCCTTGCTATAAATGTTATGTTTTCTTATGTTAGTTTCCAGAATATGCCATAAATTTGCTATGACACTAAAGTCAGGTGATTGGGGAGGTGTTTGGATGATGTGTGGACAATTCCCAACAAGCCAAGTCTGCACAAGACCCGTCTTGTGCTTCAAATCGTTATCCTGGTAAAAACAGAAATTGTTAAATATGCCTAAATATTCGGCACTTTTATGCAAATTTTGCTCTAAAATATTAAGAAACACTTCTTTATCCATTGTTGATTCTATAAATTGTAGATTACCTACTCCTGCCGCTGATTTACACCCCAATAGTATCACATGCTTCCCACCGTGTTTAACTGTGCCATATAAATTTTCTTTTTCGAGCTTAGTATGTGATATATTTGGCGTATTTTTAATAGTATTTCACATATGATTTACCATCTGAAGCGTAGAGATTAAATTTACTCTAATTGACAAAAAATACTGCGTTTCAGAAAGAACTATTCTTGTACAGGTGGTGTTTGGTAAACTGCATGCGAAACCGTCGGCAGGCATGTGATAGTATTGGGGTGTAAATCAGCAATTTATAGAATCAACAATGGATAAAGAAGTGTATCCTAATATATTAAAACAAAATTTGCATAAAAGTGCCGAATATTTAGGCATAATTAACAATTTCTGTTTTTACCAGGATAACGATCTGAAGCACAAGACGGGTCTTGTGCAGTCTTGTGCAGCCACGGTATATAAAGTTATGCAATGCATTAGCAATTAGTCGTTTGACAAAAGTTGACTGGCCAATATTTACGCATTAGTCAAAATATGGTCGCTTTTGCTAATTCTCAGAAAGCAATTCAAACCCTGAATAAAAGAAATAAATAAATATATTTAGATATATATATTCAGAAACATATATTGAATTCCAGTATGCAATTATATTTATAAATATATTGTACTGTCGTTAGAATAGTTGTAGGACATATAGAATAAATAATTAAGATGACCATACAGATTGACCGCAATATGCCCTATACTTCGGCATTATATTCAGAAAATATAAAAATTATATTTTAACAAACAGAACATAATTTTTTTTTATTTAATGGCACTGCGTGTGCCAATTAAACAATTTTTGGGTCATTGATTTAACCAATATTTTAGAAAAAATAATATAAATGCTTGGAACACACTAAAACCTCTGGCCCTTAGACAGCATCGCGCGTTGACAACGCAAAAAGTCTTCTCCCGCCATTACACATCAAATTTTACAAGAATTTTTTAAATACGCCTCCAGCAAACAATGCAAAATTTGTTCACTCATCAGTATTAAAGCAATCGTTGAAGTGTCAACAGCGATTGCTATGCGTAATTTCCTTACGAAAAATGATGTTTTACATTTAATTTATAATTTTAATTTATATATTTATATTTATTTTTATAATTTCAATTTATATCTTTATTTTTATATATATTATATTTTATTTAATTTAATTTTTTTTTTTTTTTTGGTATATTTTAATAACAAAATTTCCGTAGGTGCACAATGCAATTAATATTTAAAATAAAATATTCATTGTAATTTAATGTTTGGTTATTTATATATTTTTGTCAGCCTAAGGTTATTAATATTTTATTTCTTCTTAATAACATGTTTTGGAAATTGAAAAATTTTACCTAGGTAGAAAATACAAATATTTAAAATAAAAGATACAATTCATTCATATTTCCAAAGCATCGCATGTTAACGACAAATCATGCTTGCATTTAAACGATGTTTACGCTTCCATTTCTCAAAATAAATAAAATTTTGCATGCCGACTAAATCCGACTGTATATGCAAAAACGCAAGAATGTTTGAAGAAATATCAAAATTTTTTGATTTTCGTCAACGCATTTCTTAAAATTTCAAATGTTACTATTACCGGTATGAAGTGAGCGTAAAGATACAAATGTCCCGACAGGGAACATTTGTTGTGAACGAGCCTTTATTTCTTTTTGTTTGTTTGCTATGACATGTGTGAAATATATTTAGTATACGTCAAGTCATTGAACAGGTAACATCATATTTTTTCATCGTGTTAAAAATGTCGAATTTTGTACCAGAAAATGATGATTTGCGGAAAGCATTCATTTTTTATTTTCATTTGAAGAAAAGTGGTGCAGAGTCGCATCGAATGCTTGTCGAGGCATATGGTGATCATGCTCTATCAGAAGCAACATGCAAAAGATGGTTTCAACGGTTCAGAAATAATGATTTTGATGTGAGAAATGAAGAACTTGGAAGACCGCCAAAAAAGTTTGAAGACGCCGAATTGCAAACGATATTGGATGGAGATGACACTTTGGGTCAAAAGCAAATGGCAGAAATGTTAAATGTTGCACAACAAACAATATCTGACCGTTTAAAAGCTATGGGAAAGATCCAAAAGTGTGGAAAATGGGTGCGATATGAATTGAATGAAAGAAAGATGGAAAACCGAAAAAACACTTGTGAAATTTTGCTTCAAAGACACGAAAAAAAATCGGTTTTGCATCGGATTGTTACTGGCGATGAAAAATGGATTTATTTTAAGAATCCTAAACAGAAAAAATCATGGGTTAATCCGGGACAACCATCAACATCGACTGCAAAACCAGATCGATTCGGCAAGAAGACAATGCTGTGTGTTTGGTGGGACCAGAAAGGTGTGGTGTACCACGAGCTCCTAAAACCTGGTGAAACCGTCAATGCTGGTCGCTATGAACAACAAATGATAAATTTGAACCATGCATTGCTCGAGAAACGACCAGAATGGGCCAGAAGACACGGTAAGGTAATTGTTGGAGATTGTTGGTCGCACAGCACGAATCTGCAGACCACCAAAGCACCAAACCAAGTTCGATAAATTTCAAATAATAATTTATTTGCACAACGAATAATTTAGTTCCATAAACTTCAAATAATAATTTATTTGCACAACAAATAATTTAGTTCAATATTAATTCAACGTAATAATTTATTTATTGAATAATACAAGCAACTATGTATAACAAATACAAAGAGAAAAACAACCGCCACCGATTTGACATCTGATCATGCTGCGATCTTAAGCACAACTACTCTCCAAGCGAAATTGCAAAAAGTACAAGAGCGCATTACGAGCGCGATGCGCTCTGTTGATTCTCTTGATTTCCTACAACATGCTCCGCCCGTTGAAAGGACCCTTTCAAAACGTTTAATCGATAGGGAGTGGTGCAATTTTGTGGATAGGCCGCCGAAGCACACCCTGGTTAGTGCGAATATCTACTGCGCGAATTCTTCCATCTTTACCTGTTATAGTTTCCACAATCCTGCCCAGTTGCCAGTGTTGTGAAGGAAGATTGTCATTGTGAATAATTACCAAACGACCAACAGTGATATTAGTTTCAGGTTTAAGCCATTTAGATCTAAGCTGCAAAGTGTGTAAATAGTCACGCCGCCACATTTCCCAAAATTGCTGTTTTAAGTACGTAACACGTTGCCAACGAGATAAATATGATATGTTGCTTATTGTATAATTCCTTTCAGGAATTGTAATTAACGAAGAGCCTATTAATAAGTGTGCAGGCGTTAAAGCCTCACCATCGTTCGGATCGTCTGATAATGGAATTATCGGCCGGGAATTTAAAATCGCTTCAGCTTCAATAATCACGGTTTGTAATTCTTCGTAAGTTAGGCTAGATTGTGCCAAATTTTTTAATAATAATGTTTTGAGAGATTTCACCGACGCCTCCCAAAGTCCACCAAAATGAGGTGCTCTTGGCGGAATGAACTTAAACTCAAATCCAGTATTGTTGCTGTACTCTTGCATTTCTCTAAGCCCTTGCTGACTGAAAAATTGTTCTTTAAATTTATTTAGTAGTGTCTGCGCGCCAGTGAAATTTGTTGCATTGTCACAATAAATGCGCTGCGGCAGTCCACGACGTGATATGAATCTTTTTAGGCCTAGAATGAAATTATTAGTGGATAAATCTGATATTAATTCAGTGTGAACTGCTTTTGATGAAAAGCAGACAAAAATTGCAATATAAGTTTTATATGGAACTTTACTACGAATACGATATGTGGTATAAAATGGTCCACATAAATCAACTCCTGATATTAGAAATGGTCGGTTTGCAACTAATCGATCAGCTGGCAGCGAACCCATGATTTGTTGTAACAGCTTCGGTTTATAGTGGAAACAGTGAACGCAGTTACGCACTACCTTTCGAGCTACTTCCCGAGCATTAATTATCCATACTTGAGAGCGTATTAGACTAATTAAAACCTTAGGACCAACGTGCATGTGTTTACGATGTAAGTATTCCACAAAAATTTGAGCAAACCGATGATCACGTGGCAATAAAGCTGGAAATTTTGCATCAAAGCCTATTGGTGCATTGGTCAATCGTCCTCCTACTCGAATTATATTAAATGTTCCGCTTGTAGTGACCGTTTTATCCAAAAAGAGGTTTAGTTTTTGCAAGTCTGGATTCAAGATTTTACCCGATTGAAGTGATAATATTACACTGCGATATGTACAATGTTGAAGGTGTGATATAATACGCCAAAATGATTCTTGAAATTCACGCACTGTAATTGGACTCACGTCGTATACGGTTTGATTTTTGTTTATTGGTACTTTGTTAAAGACTCGAAAGATATATGATATTATTCGAACAATACGACGAAATGAGGAAAAATCGTCAATAATTTTATTGAATATATGTTCATCGATACCATTGTTGCTACATTTCAAGACTGTAGGTTTTCGTTGTTCAAGGTCCTTTGCGAGAAATTCAGTTTTTGATGTTTCTTTTGGCCATTCTGCTAATTGAAGCGACAAAAACTTTGGTCCACAAAACCAAATCGAATCCTTCAGCTCGCTTGCTCGACAGCCTCGAGATACTATATCAGCTGGGTTTTGCTTACTTGGGACGTGACTCCACCTAATGCCACGCGAATAGTCCTGCAGTTCAGAAACACGGTTAGCTACAAAACAATTTAAAGTTGACGAATGCATCTTCATCCAATGTAACACAATTTTAGAATCTGTCCAAAAAAAGATTTCATTAATAAATGGTAATACTTTGGGTTTTATTTTGTTCCAAGTTTTACAAAGAAGTACGGCAGCGCATAATTCTAAACGAGGCAGCGATACTGCTTTTATCGGCGCCACCTTTGATTTCGATATCAACAACGATTTGTAAAAGCCATTATGCTTTGACCGAATATATATACAACATCCGAATGCTCGTTGGGAAGCAATCCGTGTACCTGACTGTAGCAAGCTGATGGTGTTAAAACATATCTTGGCACTTCAATGTGGTTAAGATATTCCAAATCAGATTGAATTTGTATCCATGATTGGTTTAGAAGTGAAGGCAATGGATCATCCCAACCCAGTTGATGAATCCATAATTCCTGTATTAAGATTTTACACCGTATAACAATAGGACTCAATAGTCCTAAAAGATCAAAAATTCGAGCAACAACTGATAAAATAGTACGTTTGGTCGCAGCCTTTGACTCTTGTTGCTTATATTGAAAGCAAAAAACGTCATCTGATGGCCTCCACGCCAAACCGAGAGTTTTGGTAATATCATCTTCATTTAAAAGAATTTGGTATTCGTCACTTGAGTTTACCCAATTTTTGTGGTTGGAGGTCCATTTTGCCAATTGTAATCCTGCACTTGCTGCTATTTTATTCACTTGTGATACTTTGATGCAAAGCTCTTTAGCTGTGTCTGCTCCCGTTAGCAAGTCATCAACATACTGAAGCTCCAATTGGCATCTCCTTTTGATACGCATTTGCAAGGTAAGTCAGGCTTCTGATGGCCAGAAATAGTGCTGCTGACATTCCGTAAGTTACTGTGTTGAGCTGAAAAAGTTGCAGAGGTTCATTAACAGTATTTCTCCAAATAACTAATTGAAAATTGCGATCTCTTGGATCAACTACAAACTGTCGATACATTTTTGATATATCCGCAGTCAGTGCATAGCGATATAAACGAAATGTCAATAATGTCAAAATAAGATCCTGCTGAATTGTAGGTCCCACCATTAAGATTTCATTAAGTGATCGACCCGATGATGTGCGTGCAGATGCATCAAATACGACGCGCAATTTTGTTGTGATACTTTGAGGCCGCAATATGCAATGATGAGGTATTATATAGTGCGGTGTGATATTGACACGACTCATATGACCTAACATCAAATATTCTTGCATGAACTTAACATAATCCTCTTTGAGAGTCTGCTGACGCTCTAATCGACGCTCAAGTGAAAGGAATCTTCGTTTCGCCATTTCAAATGATTCACCTAAGACTTCTGGAGACTCTTTAAATGGTAATCGAACTTGTATTTGACCATTGCTTATAATTGTGGTATTTTCTACAAAATGTTTCTCACAATCCAACTCCTCCTTAGAGTAATTAATTTTTTGATCGCTTTCTAATTCTTCAATTTTCCAAAATTTTTGTAACATTGAGTCTATATTAGACGACTGAATGTAGTTACAAGTGAGTGCCCGGACAGTAGGCGTATTTTTATATTGTCCTCCGATGATCCACCCTAATTCGGTATTTAATAAACATGGAAGGCTGGTGCCTAACGAAATTTTCCCATCTAATATTAATTCAAAAAATCCCTGCGTACTTATTAATAAGTCAATGTGTTGTGGTTTAAAAAATAATGGATCAGCTAAAACAAGGCCTTCAGGAAAATTCCACGATGTCGTGTCTATCAACTGCTCTGGATGGTTCAATGAGATACGTTTAGTGACAGCGAATTGCGATGACCATTCAAATTTTGATATTCGAGATTTTATAGTTGCAGTTATTGAATGGCGAATTTGTGTTCTAACATCACCAATGCCTGACACTTCCTGGTTTATTCGCTCAAATGGTAATTGAAGTTGCTTTGCCATCTTTTCAGTGATAAAACTTATCTCTGAACAAGAGTCCAGTAATGCTCGTATAGGTTGGTATAAACCGTATTTATCCTTAATAAGTACTACAGCTGTGGGAATCAATGATCGTTGTTTAGTACGCGATACTAGAGAAATTGATGGAGATTGCGGAAAATTTAGTTGTCCAGGTGGACTGTCTGACAAATTTGGTCTCACATTTTGCTCGATGGGTTTGAATTTATGCAAACACGTATGATGCATACCATTGCATATTCGACAGCGAGCTGTAGATTGACAATTTTTAACGACGTGCCCTTTGCGTAGACAATTTAAGCAAACAGAAAGATCTTTTACGAATTTGAATTTGTCGTTAAAAGTCAGTTTTACAAACGATGGACATGATCCTAGGCTGTGGTCTCCTCCATTACACTTCATACAATTGATTTTGGTGTTAACAAATGTGGTCAATTTTCTGTTAAAAGAATTATTTTTGGTATCATTTACTTTATCATTATTGCATCTTTTCGAATTGCTTTCCAGAAATTGACATCTTCGACTCAAAAGTGTGTAGCAACTTTCCCAAGATGGCAATGACTCAAAATCTTGCTGAGAATCATAAAAAATTTTAGTTTCGTTATCCACTTTAGACAATACTAAATGAATAACTATGGCGTTCAGAATGTCTGCTTCCGAACCCAACGATAGAAGTGAACAGAATAAAGCAGACACTGTATCTACAATATGCCTGAGTGTGATTGAGTCGCCCTTCGTCATATCTTTAATAAAAAAAAGGGAATTAATATGTTCCATAAAAATTAAGACCTTTTTGTCATATCTCAATTGTAATTGCGTTAGAGCCTTTGTATAATTTTCCTCGGTTATTTAAAATGGTTGTACTACGCTCAACGCCGCACCCGAAAGACAACTTAAAAGATAATTAAATTTATCAATTGTTGTTATCGACGGGTCGTTGTGAATTAAATTTGTAAACGCAGAGAAAAAACGTTTATATTCGCTGTATTTACCATCAAATCTTGGCAATTTCAATGCTGGTAAACGACTATGATGTGAGGAGTTGTTTAAAATCGACGAATTCAATACACTTGATTCATGTATCGGCCTTATTTTTTGATTGTTGATTGCGGCCACAATAAGTGATTTTATGCTGACATATATGTCCTCTAATTTGCTACGCCTATCATCATCCGGACATGCTCGTTCAATTTTATTTTGTATTTGACAAACTTCTGTAAAATACGATTCCAAAATTTGCAGTCGACATTCTAAAATGTTAACATCCACAAACGCTAATTCCTTCTCTACCTTCGCCTTTATGCTTAGCATGTTTCGTTCCACTGATGTTCGCTCTTGTTTTAGTGAAGAGAGTTGCTCAGTTACTGAGTCATTTTTTCGACGAGTCATTTTTGCAAGTAAAACAATAAGTATAATTAATTTCCAAAAGAGTGTGATGATATGCACGCAATTGAGTCGAGTGTGTTTAAAAACCGCTGAATACGAATTTCACTCAAATGCACATGTGCTTGGGTACAAAGTCCGAATAGCGAACTGTTCAAAGTGCCGCTTTTTCAACCAAATAAACAATTAAGACAGCTCTCGATGCCGCCCGTCCTGTCACGGTCGCCAAAAATGTTGGAGATTGTTGGTCGCACAGCACGAATCTGCAGACCACCAAAGCACCAAACCAAGTTCGATAAATTTCAAATAATAATTTATTTGCACAACGAATAATTTAGTTCGATAAACTTCAAATAATAATTTATTTGCACAACAAATAATTTAGTTCAATATTAATTCAACGTAATAATTTATTTATTGAATAATACAAGCAACTATGTATAACAAATACAAAGAGAAAAACAACCGCCACCGATTTGACATCTGATCATGCTGCGATCTTAAGCACAACTACTCTCCAAGCGAAATTGCAAAAAGTACAAGAGCGCATTACGTGCGAGATGCGCTTTTTTGATTCTCTTGATTTCCTACAACAGTAATTCTGCTCCATGACAATGCACCTGCACACAAAGCAAAACGGGTTCAGGATGCAATCAAAACACTTGACTGGGAGCTGCTACCCCACCCGCCGTATTCACCAGACTTGGCTCCTTCCGACTACCATTTGTTTTCATCGATGGGACACGCATTGGCTGAGCAGCACTTTGATTCCTACGAGGAGGTCGAAAATTGGGTGTCTGGTTGGTTTGCTTTAAAAGACGAACAATTTTTTTGGCGTGGTATCCACAAATTGCCAGAAAGGTGTTCAAAATGTGTAGAAAGCAATGGCCAATACTTTGAATAAAATGTTTTTTACTTTCCTATTAATAATTAGTGTTTTATTTTCACCAAAAAACGCTAATTTCATACCAGTACACCTAATACACAAACAAATTTCGCATTTCACAAAGTAAGAGAAAAGTAGGAGAAAAAATTCTCATGTGTATATACGCGCATAAAGGGATGAGTATATTTGTTGTTTTATCTGGGGCGTGTTTAAAAAATTGTTGAAAAATTTGATCAACGCGCGATGCTGTCTAAGGGGCCCTTAAAGCGCAGTGCAGACTATCATTTTTGTGTCTCACACAACTTGCGCTCTCTCTTGCTCAAATTTCTTCTAGCGACCAAATTTGAACATGTATGACACGCAAGAGTCGCCATTCACGCAAAATTTTTGAAGAGTGAGGGTGCTTTTCGCACGCTGTGTGAAATTTATAGTAAAATTTTAATATTGAAAACATGAATAGTCAACATCTTAAGAAATTTTCCATAAATAGACAATTCAAATAATAAAACAATATACATATATTCATTGTTTTTCAAGACATTTGATAATTTTCATATTTTTGTTAGTTTCAGGTTATTAACATTTAAAATTCTTTTATATTAATAACAAGTTTCAACAAAGAAAAGCATATTTAGAATACAACGTATTATATCTTAAATTGAGGTTATTAATTAATTGTTATTACGACTAATTTTCAATACGTTTTTTTTTACTGGGCTTAGATCGTTAATTCAACGATTTTCATATTTAGATGTTTTTTTAAATAAAAATTACTTATAATCATCGTTTATAAGTTAGTGTTAAATATTTAATTGTATTCTAATTTTTTATAAGAATTTTGTATAAAAATTTATATTGTTTTAATTAAAATTTAATTAAATATTTACCCCAAATTTATAAATGTAATTTTAATAATAATAAAGAATAATAATAAAAATAATAAATACATTAATAATAAAATAATAAAAACACGTATTAAATTTATATTACAATTCTACATATATCGTCTGCTTACGATAAATTTGTAAGGTAAAAATGCTATTATATGACGTATGAATTTTTTGGGGTGACAGACTATCATGCGCTATCATGACAGACTATCATTTGGTGAGCACGCCAACATGTTGGTGCTGTGTCATTCAAAGGTGCAGACTATCATACTTGTGTGTCACACAACGTCTTTTTGTCTCGTATGACACACAAAAATGATAGTCTGCATCGCTCTTTATTTAACAAATAAATGGTGAAGCTTGAAATAAAAATAAAAATGAAGCTTGAGTATTTGGTATTTATGCAATTTCTGAGAGTGTATTTGTGATTTTGTGTCGTGCTCATTGAAATCTTCATTTTATATAAAATCTTTTTTGCTACCAACCAATCCAATTGTACACACGACATATTTTGCTATATAAAAAACCTAGTTCTTTTAGATAAACGGCAACAAAAGTTTTTTTACTTTCACTGTTATTTTGCACACCTATTTCACGTGTTTACTATTTAAATGCGAAGGTAGATGACACAATATTTTTAAAAAGGCATAGACTTTGGTATTGTAATTTTTTTCTGAAAACACATGTGTCTGACATATGTATGTGCATTGCACTCTTGCAAATTATTTTTAAAGTAATGTGTTATAAAGATAATATTATTAATAAAGCTAATATTATTAATACAGCTAATATTATTAGTTGCACGAATTTTTTAACAAAGGCAAATCACAAGTTTTCATATTTCTGTGTTTTTGTTCGGAGCGGTTTTTTAATTTTGTAAGATTCAACGTTAAGTTTGCGATAAAGTAAATATTTTTGTTTTTATATTATTTATGAAATGAAATGAGTCTGCATACTTACTATTTTTAAAATCCTCGTTTATGAATAATATAATATGAGATATAATAGATATAATAGAATAATAAATATCCTGAAAATTTCCTACCATTAAGTATTTAATTAGATATTTTGTGAGCGGGAATAACGGATCAGCGCAACGCGCAATCTTTTGTTTATTATTCATGACCATGACGGCGTAATAAGGCACTAAGATAGTTTTCGAAAGCTTTGGGTAGAAAGCTTATAAGCTCAAATAAAATTAAAGCAGTATGTGAGTGCACAACTCACATAATTTAAAAATTAAAAAAATTATTGTATAGCTTATGGAGCTTATGGTCGTAAACATCAACATAGTTTTTGATTTGGAAAGCATGGCAGCAGCATAACTAAATACAATTAAATAATAAACCTAGCATTGTCTTCTTGCACTAAAAAATGAAAATGGAAATTTGCTATAAAACTGTAAACTTACCTCTAAGTGAGCAATTTTTTATTGATACTGTTTTGCTTTTTAAATATTTTTAAAGTTATGTTGTAAGTGGATTCTAGCTCTCCGTAAAATTTTTAAACATTTGTTACAGTGAGATTATTTTCTTATCTAAAGTAAAACAAATAAGATTTGATTTCAACTAGTCTCATACGTATTTCTTGAAATACTTGAAATACAGGTAATTACGTCTAATATAATACAGACACAGTACCAGCTATGTAATTTTGAAAGTGCATGTAAAAGAAAAAACAATTCCAAAAAGTGATTTTTAATTACTGTTGTTGACAAAAGCTAAATAGATTCATGCAAAAATTACTGTATCTTATGTCTGGGGTTGTAGATGAACATACATATGTATATTATGATACATTAACAAATGCATATAATTATGTACCAAAAATTTGAACTTTGGTATTAACTTTTAAATTAAATCGCGATTTTCGGATTTTAAATTATTACTTTTATTACATTTTATTTCAATTGCTACAAAACGATTTGCTGTGCATACATGGGGCTTACTTTCACTTTTTATATATAATATATACAAAATTTAATGTTAATATTTTAAGCCAAATTTTGTGTGTTTTTGCGTGCCTAATCGATGTCTTAACTCTTTTGTTTTTTTTTTTTCATATTTTTGACATACTTTCGTTTTTTGCTATATTTTAAACATAATTATTATACCGTTTATTGAAAAAGCAATTTGTTCGTAGTTTTACCGATTAAATTATGACTATGATATCCCAAAACATATCCGCTAGTCAAACAATCTTTTCCAAAGCTTTAATTTCACTAAACTTAGTTTTAACAGAGAAATAGTAGTTTGTGCCAGTGATCGCGAATCATTTGACTAAATATTGGACAACACTCAAAACTGATAGTTTACTTCTCTTTTTAAACGTGTCGTTATAGAGACTTGGGTTGAAATTGAGTATGTAAATCAGTAGCTCGTTTATAGTAAAGAGTATTGAATATATTAATTTAATATTTGTTTACATAAATCATTCAAATCGACTAGCTAGAATGTTTTCTCACTGGCATTAAGTAATAATTGTGAATGACCTAAGCCTAGATAGCAACGACGCTGAGGGGACCAAGCCGGAGTTGGAACACGAAATTTTTCTAAGTTTATTAATTTGTCAAAATTAGCCAAATTTAAGCTTTATTTTAAAACATAAACTATAAGAGAGAAAAATTTACATTTATGTACTATATGTATGTATTTATGTTTTTTGTAGTGTTTAAAGGAAAATTAATTTTATTTCGGTCCCGTTGTTGCACACGAAGATATAATGATTACAGTACAGTAAGCTAAAAAAATGCTATGAAGAATTGGAAACAATTTTTTATAATAAAATTAAAATATCTAATTGAGGTTTTAAAATTGTGTTTTGTGATGTATTTTTGAACATTTTGCATTTTTACTTTATTGACTTGGATGATTAAGCAGTTTCGATATCGAAATTTAATTCGATTTTGCACAACTTCTGTGCATACGATTTTTCTGATTTTTACTTTATTTAAAAGCTTTCAGGTGAATATTCGTGCATGTCGGGTCCGTTTGTGGTTGTTTTTTAATAATTTTTTAAGTAAAAAAAGTCAGCTTTTTCCGAACAAAATTGAATTTGGCTGATTTTGACAAATTAATAAACTTAGAAAAATTTCGTGTTCCAACTCCGGCTTGGCCCTCTCAGTGTCGTTGCTATCTAGGCTCAGGCAAATATTTACTACATTTGTGGTTGCATATTAGCATGTAGCTATTTCTTCTAATTAGAAGAAATAGTATAAATTATTGTTCTTG